TTCAGCATTGCCATGAACTTGGCAAACTCAGACTCTAGTTGGTCTTTGTGCAACCAAGTAGGAAAGGGAAGCTGCGGTACATACTCCTTCGCCAATGGTTGCGGTTTAGGAACAGGCACCTCAACCTCCTTCTCCATTTCCTCCTCATTAGCTGGAAGTGCTGAAGCAGGGGTCTCTCTCTCTTGTGCCCGAACAGGTGGATCAGCAGTCATCTTGCCACTTCTGGTAGTGATGGCCTTGCAGTGCTCATTAGGGTCTTATGGATGAGGGATGGTCTGACCGGGGAGAGTACCAGGAGTCCTCTGGGCTATAGCCTGGGCCACACTACAAAGCTGGGTATGGATGTCCCGCAGCACAGCCTGCGTGTTTCTCTAGCCAGCTTCTAGCTCCAAGAATTTACCAGAATCTTTCTCCATGAACTGCTCGATATTATTGAACTTGTTTGCACTGGAGGTGGCCAGAGAACCCACCAGATCTCGCAATTCCACCATCGGATCACTCTGTATTGGGCTGCGGGGGCTGCCCTTGACTAATGAAATGGCCGCACCTGTGACTAAGGTGGAACTGGCCCCTGTCTGGCGGGTAGAGAGGCTGCTGCGGCTGCTGAAATTGCCCTTTTCTGGGCTGCTAAGGAGGCCTCTGGAAGCCTGGTAGTCCCTAGGGGACTGGTGGTCTAGAATTGGCCCCAACCCAGGAGAAGTTGGGATGGTGGCGCCACCCCTCGTTGTAAGTGTTGCTGTAAGGGTCGAAATGCCTACATTTCCGATGAAGTCCACCTGCTCCTGGGGGGTAGACAACTCCCTCATCGCCTGACAGTCCTCCACGGTGTGATGGGAGCTCTCACACCACTGGCAGTGCATAGCCTGTTGTGGTCCTGTACTTGTAATCATCCCAGAGCGATCGATGGCTGGAACCAGTTTCGATACCACCTGCACCAAATCAGATGACGGGGTGGCTACAGCATGCACACCCCGCCCTCGTGCTCGTCTCGATCTCCTCGCAGTTCCCCAATTATAGCCCTGCTCTACCATCTCTCCAAAAAGTTGATTCAGATGTGGTGGTGTCTTTGTGAGCATATTCCCGCCCAAAGCATCCCGGATGGTCTCATCTTCATCCTGAGCAAAGTGGGTAATTTGCTTCTGCAGGTCCACCGTCTTGGACGGAGGATGGTAGCGGGTGAGGAACTTGTCCTCCAGGTTGGAAAACGTGGTGATCGAGTTTGGAGGTCGAGTGTCTAGCCACTCCTTGGCTTCACACTCCAGAGTAAATGGGGAAGTACCTCAGCTGGATAGCATTGGCTGGGGCCCCATTGATCTTGATCCCATCGATGAGCTCGTGGAATTGCCTCAGGTGTGATCGGGGGCACTCCCCTTCCTTGCCACGAAATACCACCGAACCGTGCAACATGGTGATGACAGAGGTGCTCACCTCAAAGTTATTCGCTGGAACCTGAGGTGTCAAATGGGCGACCTCATGTTCACGGCTCTGGCGGTCCAGTAATACCCCATGGTTTGCTCCTCGGGAAGGACCACATCATGGTCCTGCAGGTCATCCATCTCTTCCTCCTCGCTGATTTGCAGCTGTGCTAAGCCCTCCTCTGCAACCAGTCGCACCTTTAGAGCCCGCTTGAAGTTCCTACAAGTCCGTTCAAGCTCTTGGCCTAATGGTAGTAAATCTCCCAACTAGCTACGGGTCATGCACTACCTGCACACAATCAGCAAGAGCAACCCGTGAAGGCACACAGGTGGAAGAGAGAAATGCTAGTAAAGAAAAAAAACTAGAGTAACAAACTTTCACGTTTCCCCAATAACCTAGAGGGTCCCCGGCAACGACGCCAAAAAGTTGACACGCTAAAACACAACACCAAACTACGACCAAGTGTAATCGCAGTCCGAAAATGTAGTAACAGGCAAGCTCTAATTGTCAACCCGGGGTCTAGATCTACTGCGTACTCCGTGAATATCTATTATCTAGCAAACTAAGTCGAGTGATTGTGATTTTAACTAAAAGCAGTAAGAAAGCAGGAAATTGTTCGGTTTTCTAAAGCAAGGGACAAGTCACTCGGGAATGAGTCCTCCTAGCTCCTTAGTTAGGTCACAATTGTAATTACCCTGGGTTGATTAACTGTTGATTAAACTGCGGAAGATCCGACAGTAGCTTGGAATCTCTTAAGCTGACCAAGCCTTCTCAGTCCAACTACCCGACATACGACTAGTCTTCACCGGGATAGAAAGCTGAGGCTATGAACGCAGAACTCCACTACTGGAATTGGATTCCAGTACAAAGCAGTAAATCGATTAACTCTCGTATAATCAATCTACAACTACCGATTGATGAAGCTCTAACAACCTAATCAGATTCTATCTATCTCAGGTTGCAGCAGAAATCAAGAAAAGATGATCAGACTTAAATTGACTCAAAAAATCATGCATCAATCTTAAAATCAATCAGTATAACAATCCCAAGTCATTACAATCAAGATCCCTAACACATGGAACTAGGGTTCTTCATACCCAAGTGAGAGAAGGTTCTACTCCATAGAGAGAGAGAGAGAGAGAGAGAGGAAAACCAAAATCAGAGTAGTCATACTCATAAAGATGAAGAAAATCTGCTTTGGGATGTCAATCTTCACTTCTGGGGATGTAATCTGGGCTTCAATGCTGAGAAATCCACTCCAAATAGCTCTTAGGGTTTGTTCTTCGCCCTTTCTCTCTCTAAAACTCTGTTTTTGCTCCAAAAAGTCGATTCCCTCTCCTTTGGCTCGAATCTGCCTCAAAAAGTCGATCCTGGGCAAAACACAGTCGAGGGCACGGCCGTGTTTGTCATTTGCCCGTCCGTGCCCTCGCCACGTGTTAAAAACACGCTCGCGTCGGCCAAAACACGGTCGTGCCTAAAGATTGACACGACCGTGTTTTGCTTCACCTCCGCCCGTGTTTTGGACATCACAGCAGCTCCCTTCAGTCAAGCCTCGGCATAAATAACACCGCCTAGAACACGACCGTGTTCTTCTTTAGGCAAGCCCGTGTTTTGCTTTTCCATCAGTTAAGCTCTTTCACATAAAAACACTGGCGTGCTCGTTTGTGTACACGGTCGTGTTCTTCAGGCCTCCTGCCCGTGTTTTGTCCCCAGCTCGACCGAATGACATCCAAATGCCCTGAATCTCGTGCTTAGACTTTCCTTCGACGTCTGGAATATGAAATATGACAAAGTAGCACAACCGAGCGTAAAATGGGGAAAAAATACACGACTACTAGCCGCAAACGGATAAGAACTAATGGTGCAAACATGTGCAAATACATCGTTATCAACCAACCATCTGCTCTTCAAACTCCAATATTTTAGAGAGATTTTTCAAAGGTTTTGTTTGATTGGTTTAAACAAATTACTTTCTGCTTAAATTCAAGGGTAATGACTATTTATTAGCCAAATCTTTTTCAGAGTCTTTTTTATTAGTCAAACCTATCAAAATACTAAGAATTAGCCAAATGTTAACTTTCGGTTAGCAACTTTGTTAGTAATATTGACTTGGCAACATGATACTGACTTAGAAGAGACACATGAAGGTAAACATTCCAAAATTTTAGTATTTTAACTAAGAAAGGAGTTGCAAAATTATTAACAATAACGTAAAAATGGCTAATATTTTGATAGGTTTGGATAATATAAAAGAATTTGAAAAGGGTTTGGATAAAAAATAGACATTACCCTAAATTCAAACAACAATTGAGTTAGGGAGAAACTACTTTTTCATGTGCAAAAATCAAAATCTTGGTCATTTCCTTCAAAATAATATAGATGAAAAGAAGAAAAAAAATGATAAGAGTTGGCCACCATCTCTTACGAACTTACAAAAAAGGATTCATTTTTCTCTCAAAAGCCACATCGGCTATTTTCAAGCTCGTAAAAAATTTTCAAAATGTTTCTCCCTTTCTATTTACAAAGAAAAGTAGAAAAGTCATGGTCTTTGGTATAAAAATTTGTGGAACCTTGAACTTACCACCAGAAAAAAATCCTTCCACATATCCATGCCCCCAACCACATTGTTACCCTTTCAAAAGTCCTACCGGACAAGTCAAGTGGTACACAATCTTTGAGACTCGAACGTCAAGCTCATGACAGAGGGATGATAGGGCGAGTGTATCTAAATGTATATGAAAGTACATCACGCTTTTGCATACATTTTTACCCTCACCCCATTGGTCGAGTGAAGGAGACTTTCCATCATCTCTAAAAATCCAAGTAAGATCTATTTGCTCGATCTCTCATGCTGTGCTTTGCAATTCCCATGCTTGAACAATTGAGAATGATGAAAGATCAATCATTATTCTAGACTGTTCTTATAAATCAAAGTCAGAGTATCCCATGTCACATGAATATTATGATCAAATGTCATTTGTGGTGGTTGAAAGCATCTCTATCATGCTACATACTGCATCATCTTTAGCAATCATATGAGATTCACATTTTCCCCAACTCACGGTTGGAGTTCTTGTGAAATTGGTTTTGATTGAACTTAGATTTTTCATTCTTTGCTTGAGGGAAAGCAAATGATTAAGTGTGGGGGAATTTGATAACACCTAAATTATACATATATTCACCTAAACTTTTACATCCTAAAATGTCCTAAATTGTACTAAGTTCATTCAATTTCCCAAATTTATGCTTGGTTTTGTGTTTAAGTGATGTTTCAGGTTATTCCATCCAATAAGAAGAAAGAATGAGCTAATTTGGTGCCCGGATGATAAAAAGATGGTTAGGATTCAAAATCTGACGCCGGTGGAACTCGAGCCCACGACATCCTAGGCGAGGGAATAGAGTCGTACGATTTCGGCCGCGTCCCATTTTGGTGTTTGCATACGAAATACGCTGCGTATTATGGTGACGAATCACGGAGAGAGAGGTAATAAAAAATGCAGTGTCAAACCGCAAACTGCATAGTCAAACTACCTCCTGCTAGAAAGAAGGAAACGACTGTCAAAGAGGCCAACACACCCTGCAATATGGCCACGTTAAAGACCACGTCAACAAATGCCAAGGAGCTGTCAAAGGGTCAAGGTGGGCAGCAACATGGCCATGTCCGAGACCACGTCAATATCAACACACCCTACAACATGGCCACGTTTACGGCCACATCAACAAAAGTCAAGGAGATATCAAAGGGTCAACGTGGGCAGCAACATGGCCATGTCCGAGACCATGCCAACATCAACACACTTACAAACCACTTCAGGCCAATACACCCATGAACATGGTCATGTTCATAGACCATGTTGAGTACAACACACACAGGAACACGACTGTGTTCCAGGCTGTGTTCTCCATCAACACCTCAAGTTTATGCCACCTCGAAGAGATCATTAAACAACGAACATGTGAACTAACATGTCCGTGTTACCAGGCCATATTGACCATCTAGCCTTGTCTCGCATTCATTTTAGGTAGAATATGACATTTACGACGTTGCTGGTCGCTGGATCTAACACAGTTTGTCAACACAATCATGTTTAGGGCGTGTCGACCAATCCCAGCATGTTCCAATCATTCAACCTGTCATTTTTTTTACCATTTACAAGGGAACACGGCCGTGTTCTAGCCCACGTTTAGAAGAAAACTCAACAATCAGTCTCTACAAGTACTAACAAGTCGCTCTGACGACCAGCTATGAACACGGCCTGGAACACGGCCATGTTCTAGGGTGTGTTCAACCTGTTGCTGCCTGTAAATAGAACCTTGAAAGATAAGAAAGAGGGAGTTGGAAAATACCTTCATTATTACCTAGAAACCAGTCCAAATCCTGTCCTCATTTCTTGTATTTCATATTAGTGTTGTTGTTTTCATTTCCCGTCAAAACTCTCATTATTTCTGTATTAATCATCATCATGTCATACTTCTTATGTCGTGTTCTTCATGTTCATATTCAAAGTTGGGAATACCGTATTGTATTTGCATTATTGAAATTAATGAAACGAGTATCCTATATGTGGGGATTTGATAATCATTTGAGGTGGTAACTTTATATATATACCCTATTCTTATCTCCTATGTTCCTTCGTCATCATCATCATGGTAACTCCCTCCACCTCCATCTTTCTAAACATCATCATGTCCGGCTTATCTCCTAGTTGTTCCAGATTTGATGAACCCTAATATGCTTTGTATGGATTATGTGGTATCTTGGACATATTTTTCTCGTCTTACAATCTTTAATCGACTTATCATGTGCAAATCAATAGTACGCGTCTGTTGTATATTTTGTCTGATACATGTAGATGAAACTGCGAGATAATTTTGAATGTTAGATCTCTCGTGAAAATAACGAATTGATCGGACGAACTAGCGATAGGGTCACGTAGTTCCTCTAGATTATCTTAAAAACCTAATACAAAAATTCACAAATCTAGTTAATGCTTTCGTTTAAGAGTCTTGTAAGCCACTATTCACTTGACTCTTAAAGTTGAAAGGGTGTAAATACATGTGCGAACCGGTTAACACTAAATTGAGAATTTTCATAGTCTAAGATTTGAACACACATCTATGATGAATTCAACTTGTTTGTATAATGTATGTTAGGGGGATTCATTTCCCAGGCAGCGTCTCATCCTCTTGATATTACTTTGAAATTGTTTGTTTGTGTCTTGTTTATTGCATGTGTGAAATCCTATACTTGAAAATCAAATAAAAATGATTGACTAGATAACAGGTAAAATCTTAGTACTAGTACACGAAGTCTATGTGGATATCACCTTACTTCTTGCTATACTGCTCTAGAACAATAGGTACTCTTGGCTATTTTTCTATGTTAGTTATGGGCGATCAGATGGTATGGACCAGGTTTTCATAGCAGAAGAATCCGAGAGTGACGAAGAGATCACTACAGAAGAAGAGATGGGAGATCCAATTGATCAAGTGGGATATATGAATGGGGGCCAAATGCAACTAGAGGATCAGATTATGAGGTAATACCAGACCTATAGGGCCGAGGATCTGAGACTGAGTATTCATCATCGTCAAGTTCTTGCAAATAAATTTGAGGTGTAAACGTCTGTGATACATATGTTGAAGACCTCGGTGGTGTTTAATGGGTTCCAATGCGAGTGTCCACGAGAGTACCTCACTCGATCTCGTAAGCTGATCTATAGGATCAATATTAACGATGTACCATAGGAAGAGATACAACTTTGCTACTTCCTCTCTAGATGAAAGGGCTAAGGCGTGATTGAAGAACCATGCACCTGAGTCGATCACGTCATGGGTTGATCCGGTGAGCAAATTAAGAAAGCGATCGCCCACTTTGCGCAGAAGGATGACGAGACCATCAGAGATGCATCGGAGAGAAACTTAGGTCTCTTCCTGAAATGCCCCCATCACAAATTATGCTACTCCTTCAAGGTGGACAACTTCTACCGGGCCCTTCTTCCTGAAGACCTATAGCTGATTGATTCTGCATGTCAAGGATGTATGTTATCTAAAACTCCACCACAAATGAATCAGGTTTTCGAGCATATGGCAGCCAGAGGTATGATAGGGGAGTAACTAGAAAAGTTCGGCGCCTCCAAGGTAGAGGAGTCCATTCTGTAGAGGCCCGACCATCATCTCTTGAGACCAGAATTTTTGAGCTGATTAAGGAGATGGATCGTAATAGACTAGTTATATGCCAAACAGGTCTAGGCTATGTTGTGCAAGTGGTGTGAGAGTGCGAGTCACATGGTGGAGGAATGCCAAGCGACGAGAGAGTTCAATATGCCTAAGGGCAGCAAGATTTCATTAGCAATGTCAATCGCATATACCCTTACAATAACAGGTACAATGAGAGGTGGCACCAGCATCCTAGATATTCAGGTAATTGTACATCCATTGCATTGCTCCGGGGATAATGTCTTGGACTTTTTCCCTGAATACACACGTTCTTAAAAAAAATCCCCAAAATACACTTTTATGAAAAATTCCCAATCTACACATGTTTGGGCATCACCACGGCCGTCAAACTTGGTGAAGACATGCACCGCTGCCAAGGAAAGCTGTGAACGCATCACCGCAGCAAAGGAGCGCGGTGAAGGCTTCACCTCGTTTGATGGCCTCGGTGAAGGCCTACCCTAAGGCTGAAACTTCAAACGAACGTAACTTTGCGCTCGGTTATTCGATCGTAGCTATTTTTTTATTCCGCATAATTTTTATAGATTTTACAAGTCGCAAACCACTGTAGGCAATTTGGTCCCGCCTTCGTCGCGATAAAACGTCGCTTGCTAGCCCGAACGAGCAATTTTTCAATTTCGCCAAACTTTGGAAGACCATAATTTTGTGCTCCGCAATCCTGACGTCATGATTGTTTTTATTTCACATAACTTTTTAAGGACTATAACTTTTACTATGAAGGAATTGTACACAGTAGAAAAATTAGTTGTTTTTTGAGAAATCGTATTAGTTGTTATAATTTCATTCAAAAGATTAATTTATGACCAAATCTCACTAAACTCACTTTCTATATATATTCTTCTCTATTTTCGCATAACTCATTCTACAAACTTTATTATCAATATTTTCATTTTCATATATGTTTCTCTCAATTTTCTCATAATCCGTCATGCATGCCATACTATTCTTCCAATTACTTTCATACTTTTTTTAGTCTAGACTCTTGACATTAATACTAAACTATTCCTCACGTTATTAACATAGGAGTTGCCGCTTTAATTTGCGGTTAATACAATGCTCATCTCCCTTGATTAGCTCTCCCTAAAAAACTTTAGTAAGTACTACGTTGAGTAAGTAAGTAGCAGCCATGTTCGATCAAACATAAGCTTGAACTACTCAAACTCCGCTCAGAATATGCTCTCTCCACTTCTTCGCTCAACGAACCCTTTCAGCTTTCCAAAAATAATAATAATAATAAATAAAAAGTGTGAAAACTTCCAATCATGCCCGGACGACAACGACTCTCTTAGTTTCTTCTATATCTAAGTAACACATACCCGCATATCGCAATTCGCCGGCCGCCATATCCTGAAATTCGAATCCCTATCCACCGTACAAATGGACCATTCAGTTTCCAACTACGAAACTCTCCTTCCTCTCCTCCTTATACCGCTACTACTTCTCCTTTCAATCAAACACATCCATGCAAACAAGAAGAAAGAACTTCCTCTGCCTCCAGGCCCAAAGCCATGGCCGATTCTCGGAAACATCCCACAGATGACCAGAAAGGTTCACATCACCATGTCCCAATTCGCTAAATCCCACGGTCCCTTAATTTCAGTCAAACTCGGCGCTCAGCTAATCGTCGTCGCCTCTTCTCCGGCAGCCGCCGCAGAAATCCTCAAGACCCACGACCGTGTCTTCTCGGCAAGATACATAAGCAAATCCAGTCCGTTCGAAGTCAGCGATGTTGATAGAAAGGCAATCGTGTGGGCTTCCACGTGTAACGACAGCTGGAAGTCCCTCCGCGGGCTCTGCAGAACGGAGCTGTTCTCTGGCAGAGCAATCGAGTCGCAGGCAGCCGTCCAGGAGAGGAAAGTCGGTGAAATGGTTGAATTCCTTGCCGGTAGAGAAGGGAAAGTGGTTGATGTCGGGGAAATCGTGTTCGCCACAGTTTTCAATTCGCTGTGTAACCTTTTCTTCTCCGAGGACTTGTTAAGGCTGGATGATAGTAAGGGGAAGAAGGCTAGTGGGTTGAAGAGCCATATCTGGAAAATGATGGAACTTGCAACCACTCCAAATATTGCTGATTTTTACCCTGTTTTGGAACCGCTTGACCCTCAGGGACTGAAGAAGAAGACGGTCAAGGTTGTCACACAGATGTTTTCCGTTTGGGAGAGTTACATAAGGGAGAGAAGGGAAATTCATGACTCGAAATTCCACGGAGATGAACCGAGAGGGGATTTCCTGGACGTTTTTATTTCGAATGGCTTCGACGATGACAAAATCAATTGGTTGTTCTTTGTAAGAATTAATTACAGTCAACTGATTTTTTGCTCTGTTTTTTTTTTCCCCTCTTACTCTGTTTTTGTCTTACTCTGTTCCGGAATTTCGCAGGAATTGCTGACGGCGGGAACCGAGACGACTAGTACGACGGTGGAATGGGCATTGGCGGAGCTTTTAAAGAACGGGGAAGCAATGTCTAAAGTCCGCAGAGAGCTGAATTTAGAAATTGGGGAAAACACCATTACCGAATCGAATGCCTCTCAACTGACATTTCTGAACGCCTGCATAAAGGAGACATTCAGGTTACACCCACCGGTACCGTTCCTTATTCCACGCCGGGCTCCCGAAGCTTGCCAAGTGATGAACTACCGAATACCCAAGGATTGCCAGGTCGTTGTCAACGTGTGGGCAATTGGGCGGGATCCGTCGGTTTGGGAGGATCCGTTGTCGTTTAGACCAGAGAGGTTCGTTGACAACAGGTCAGCAGTTGCGGACTTCAAAGGTCGTGACTTTGAGCTTCTGCCGTTCGGATCGGGTCGCAGGATCTGCCCCGGACTTCCCATGGCGGCTAAACAGTTGCCATTGATTCTAGCTTCATTGATTAAAGGGTTTGATTGGACTCTTCCCGGTTGCGACGATCCGGCCAAATTAGATATGTCCGAGAAGTTTGGTCTTACGCTGCAGAAGGAGCAACCTTTGCTACTTGTGGCTAGGAAACAGAGCACGTAGCAAGTTGTTATTAATTTCTTGCCAGAACATGGGCCGCTTGTTATTAATAAGGCGGGCAAAGGTCTTAGCTGTTGCCTGTGATTAACAACAGTTTGGAATAAATACACAAACATCCATCTTCCCAAGTTGCCTTACCTAAATTGCTATGTGGTATTTCACCAAAAAATTTATTTTTTGCTATGTTGTGGATGCAAAACACTTGGACGGTGATTGGTGCGATATGGATGTAACCTATAATTAACGTCATCATTGACTCTATAATTAACGTGGAATACAAACCTAGAAAATAATAGGATTTTATTACTTCCATGACACTATACTGCATATCGAGTTTTTGATGCCGTTGTAGGAGAATTTTTTATTATGATTCGAAAGTAGCTAACCTCTTGTGTTTTATTATTATAAATAAAAAGAAAAAAGGTATTACACTTTAGTTGATCTTGTTTTGCAGATCTCGAACTCAAATAAGATATTGCAGATCATACAAGAACGTGATACTATAAGAATCTTCAAACTCGATTGATTGAACATCGCTATAAGAAATATGGTCATCCGATATCTATTCAAGTACTCTAGGCCAAAGGCATTAAATATCAAACTAAGAAGCATCCATCAAGCGTCAAGCATTAGAATAAAGCCCTCATGGAGGATGATGTTGGAAGCATCGATGCAGTTCCCTGAAAAAGATGATGAAAATCTCGATGAGATGAAGTCAATAGGTGAGACGTGCGGAGTTGACCCACGTATGATGGAGATGCTGCAAGATATCGACACCACTAATGCCAGGAGCTAGGATTATGAAGCTATTGTGGAGAGGAACTAGTCGATGATCAAAGCATCCTATGTGGTCAAGAAGACAATGATGGGCACCTTAAGGAGATGCATGAAGGATTTAGAGATATCACAAACTATGGAGACCTCCAGAACCATGGAGAGGAAGATCATCTAAATGCTATTCCATTTGATGAGGAAGAAGATGGACTCACAACTCAATCTTTAGAACAAGAAGAAGCTGCAATGGACGAAGAAGGTTGCAGTCCTAAAGAATATGCACTAATTCTAACCTTCTTGGATTCGTGGGAAGACGTTGATGGCATCACACAACTTGAGGGCTTTCAGCATTTCCTACGTTATATTCAATCTTTATCCTCAAGCAAACCACCTATCAGAGTAGTATCAACTATTGGAAACGTCCATGAGAAAGAGTCTGAGTGTGATGATCCCCTTACCCCTTTTAGTCAAGGTTTAGAACAACCCTTGGAACCCATAAACCTTGAACATGAGGAAGTAGAGACGAAGATGTCACCTAAGGATGATCAACCTTAAATGACGAATAAATGTGAGGAGCCACTAGAGGAGTAACCTTCACTACTAATCCATTCAAAGAGAGAGCCTAAAGAGAAGCCTGACGAGGAGCATAAAGACGAAAAGCGTAAAGGCCAGGAGCCACCATCTAGAGATGTGATGAAGGATCAGATCAACATGACGTCAAACCAAGGAATGAAGCATGATACCACCATCATTCAAGAGATCATGGGGGAGATCATCAACAAAGGAGGAGTATCGAGTTCAAACTTGTTGAAATAAGAGTAAGGAGCATCTAGCTCAATGTAGGACACTTCAAGCCACACTCACCATGAGTTAAACTCGAGTTGGGAGAAGGAAATTTGCGAAGAATGTAACTTTGATCTTGGGAAAGAATGATCCTCTATATCATCTTCTACATCAACAATAATGGGAGAAGCTCAATGAATAGAAATCCCACCTACTATCGAAACTCTTTTTGTAAAGAAGAATGATGTCATTCCACAAGTTGAAAACCATGAAGAAAACTACAAAATCTTGGTGGAGATACACCATAGTGTTGGGCTAGACCTCTCTCGACTCCTCGGGGTCTTATAATGTACAATTACTCATACTAACCATCAATGAAATACACGAAAATCATAAATTCATTTAAAGATTTTTATTTAACAAACAAGCAAACAAGAAGAGTAAAGTTGTTTGTGTTTTTCATTTATAGAAGCATAAAAGTAACGATACATTATTGTAGAAAATACTGAACTCAAGTACTATCATGCATACTAGGGCTCAATCTCAACATGCATTGATGGTTCATCTTTAGGTAACCAATTCGTGGAGCGAGAGCGAGAGCGGGAGCGGAAGCGAGAGTGTGAAAGCGTCTACGTTACAAGAATTTAGTATTAAGAGCGCGACGAGATCATCATTATTATATTATTTTTTTTATTTACAATATAATTAATAACAAAATAATATATAGCATTATTCCAATGTTGATAGAAAAAAGTGATGTTGGAAAGAGGTCGGATAGAATTACCAAAAAAAGAGTGAATATATTTTATTAGAGTGATTTCCTTAATCGATTGACTTTACTACAACTATTCATTATTTGGTTTTAACATATTCATTTTTTCTAATAATCCCCACTAACTTCTTTTATATTTTTTAATCCCCTTATCTCTAATTGACGCCACTCTCAATCTCTCTCTCTCTCCACTTCTTTTCACTCCTCTTCTACACAGAACAAGTTAACAGTTAGCCGATCAAGCCTCTTCTCCATGCAGTCAAAGATCAGACTTTCTCTCTCAGTTCTGCAATAGATCACGAAATCAACAAACAAAACGTCGGCGACAACGCTAATATGCTCAATTGGATGGCCCGAACGCCGAACAAGCTCAATTGGATTGGAGAGTAGCGGATTCCGCCGCCTGTTGCGGTAGCGGCGGTGCGTCGCCGGCAGAGAAGGTTGAATCATCAACATAACTGAGAATTGGAGGATGAAAGTCGACACAACACATGGTGGCGGGAGTGAGGACGCCATTGACGTTGTCGGATAAGGTACCCTGATTTCAACAGGGACGACGGAGCCCAAAGAACAAATGACGGGCCGATGGGGAAGACCTTGATGGACGAGTTCACGCTCCAGAAAATTTAGTTCGCGCTCCCAATAATTTAAGTTAGCGAACTATTAACGACTTGCTGAAAAATCGCGTTTTCACGCGCTGGAGTGCGAGCGGCGTGCCTTGAGACGCGAATTAGGTAACCTAAGTTCATCTATTGTAACACACTATCCCTTCGTCTATGGCCACTCTTTACCCGTGCATGCCCCTCTTGCAATATAGATTTAACTAGCTAATGCGTGCTTTCGCTTCATGTCATCGCCTAATTAATGAAGAACAAATAAGTTAGGGTTATAGGTATAATATGCCCCTCTACTATAACATTTTATCAAACATGCCCCTCTACTATTTTTTACATCAAACATGCCCCTGTACTTTGACAAAATTATCAAACATGCCCTTCTGCTAAAATTTCCATTGAAAAAATCTTCTATCATTGTTGAACTGAGATTTAGACGACCCGACATCGGCAAATGTGAGAGAAAATATCAGTTTTCCCCTTTTTATTTATTTGGGTCTCTTCAAAGTGAAATTATTTGAATTATTTTGCAATACAAAAGAACAAAAAAAAATCTAAAGTGAAATTATTAGGGATATTTTAGACATTTGAGTCTCCCAAACCAAAGGTCGCCATTGGTTGACGGTTTTTTTTAATGGTGAGAGTTGGTTGACGGTTTTTAGATGAAAATTTTAACAAAAGTGCATGTTTGATAATTTTACAAAGTATAGAGTCATGTTTATTGTAAAAAATAGTAAAGGGGCATGTTTGATAAAACATCATAGTATAGGGGCATATTATAGTTAGTATACCATATAGTTAATTGTGGGATTTTACAAACCATAAACACAATCTATTACTTCGATTATCTAACAATCAAGCATTGTTACTACTCGACAAATAGATGGTTGATCATTCCCTCTATACTCGAGTAGCATCAATGGGGTATCAATAGATGGTAATTTCTTAACAACCTAGATAATACTAACCACAATGCTTAAAGTAGCATACAAAAAAATCTTAAGCATTAGTGATAAAGGAACATTTATACAATATAAACATCAATGACCATCACATAAGCATCGAAACTAAAATCATCCATATATAGGAGCAAGGCATCGAGATTTACATAGACAAACACAAGCATGGGATGAAATCATAACATTAATTGGCATAACAATAAATAATTTCACATCTTCATACAATCCATTTGTACTAGGCTACAGAGAAGAGAAGGAAGGTACCACCATTGATGATGTCAACATATCCTTAACTACAAACCCCTTTATTTCGACTAGGCTATTACTCATGTACACCCTGTTTGGAAACTAGGGGGTGCAAATTGACGTACAAATTGTATGGGGTAAATTTAAGGGAGTGTAAATTGTTGTTTGAGAGAAGAAGTAGGTACGCAAATAAGTCTAAGATTGTATTTAATTAATAATATTTTATCAGAAAAATAATAGAAAAATAAAAAAATTATCTTCCCCATCATTCTTCTTTCTCTGCCGACTCTCTTTCTGCGTTAAGCCTTTCCTCCCCACATTCTTCCTTCTCTCCAACTCTTTCTCTCTGTCTGACACCAATTTTTCCTTCTTGATAAAATCGAACAGACGACCACAATGTATCATCTTCTTTCTCTTCCTTTCTGCCTCTCCATCTTCCTTATCTGATTTCTCCGACTCTCTCTCTCTCTCTCTCTCTCTCTCTCTCTATATATATATATATATAGTGACGTATTCGGTATCATCATATTATTACGAGGGTAATAGATTGATTTGTTATGATTATATGTCATATCATCATATTAGATTGACTGTACTAATTAAAGTTCAAAATTTGATGTATTGTGGACACTTTTAGAGTTGTGCACCAAAAAAAGTGAGTGCCCCGAAGTAGCCACCATATATATCACCAGTCCACTCAATCAAGCTCTTCGGCCGTCGTCATCGATCTTCCCACATCGCCATCAATCTTCCTCAGGGTGAGATCTGAATATCGATGATAAGGAAGGCGGGAGATCGGTAGCCACAGGCGAGCGAGAGAGGGGGATCGAAATCCTAGATCCGATAAGTTATGGGCATGCATGTAGTTGTTTGAGTTAATTCTTATTCTTGGGGAAGGGCATTTACCTCTCGAATTTATGCCCCCACCATATATGCTCTTTCCAAATATAGCGGTAGAGTGTAACAGAGAATTTGTGTGTTTGTGCAGTCTTACTAAGTTAATTGGTCTTGTCCTCTATTTATTAGAAAAACCACAGCCGAAAAAGGTCCTAAGTCGACTAGGAAACACTTTATTAATCATTGTGGGCTAAGTAAACTTCTTCCACAAGGTTTAAGGCTGGCGGCAGTAGGGGAGAGCTTGGATCCACCATTCTTTTTCTTTGTGGGTTGGGCTCCTCTGGCCTTGAACGACTCCTCTTTTCAATTTGAGTGCATCTTGTGGTGTTCTTGGCTAGCGGCGGTTGTGCCTGTTGCTGGGACTCTGCTCGTTCTTTCTTCGGCCTAGGCTGAGTCTTCCTCCTATGGGCTTGCTTGTGATTATACGGAAATTCCTAGTAGACTTCTCTATCATTGTATGTCTTCTTTCTCACAAAAGCTCATTAATATTCTCTTTATAGCTCCTTTGATCCTCCAGAGTTCTTCAATCCAAACTTACTTAGGTTGCTTTGTACCTTCAAAACCATTAAAAAAAATATACCAAGAAGTCATCAAAGAGTATAAAAATGTAGCCTAGGCCTATTAAAGGCTCACTAATCAAATTGTTGCGATTTAGATAGAAAAGTCCATTGAAATGGCCAAAGATGCTTAGATAGAGGGGGTAAATGTATGAAGAATGAGAATTCATGAGTGAACACTATAAATAAAGTGTTATCAGAAATACCCCACACTAAAACTTTGCTTGTTCCCAAGAAAACACTACTCATAAATATACAACTCAACGAATTCTAGTCATAATTTTCGACCCTGATGTTAGATAGTAAAGCAACTTACAAAGTTAACAATAACATGAGATAATCCTAACCATATTGATATGCAAGAACATCATACCATATAATTTAATTATCAACCACTAATCATGCATTAGAGTCTCAAAACATAATGGTGAAACTTTTGATAAACTTTTAAGATTTGAATGCTTTCTACCATCAACTTGACATATCTTTAAAGTGTTTTTCCTTATTATAACTCAACCTCTTTCTATGATTTTTGAATATTCTCATCTTGCATCCAACTATGTTTTTATTTTTATAATGTTTATCATGGTGGAGAGTTCTTTTGAACTTTACCCATATTTTTCGAGTAAGAACTTAGAATCCCTTTTCCTCAACTCTTGGAGGGTCAACGAAATTAAGGAGTGTCAGAAACTCTATCCGTAACGTTAATAACACATCTTAAAATTGGCAATCGTTTCGACGGGTGGAAATTTTGCTTTTACTGGAGAAGAACTAGGATCACCTTGTAGGACTATTCCGCTAAATCTCTAGCATCTCTTCCAATGCCCGATTCAGTGCAATGAAAAAATGCCTCACACATTGGGCTTACCCACACTTTTTTCTCAAAATACCAAGGAAATTTTTTGAATAATGTCTTGATGGATAGAAATTTTGCATCTTTCTAAAGATAGAGTTCACCCTTTGAAAACTTTTGAAAGGAGGCTCTTTTGCATAGTAAAAAATATTTGAATAGATCAAACAATATGACATTCAAACACATACAAATGATTAATATATCCCATTGCCTATCCCATCCTTCATAGTCATTACATTAGCCTCTCTAGATCAAGTGATGGTAACTAGACTCAATGATTTAAAGGAAGATGAGAAGTGATCCCGCTTATAGGGGATGACTAAATTCATTAGAGGGAAAGACATCTTTAGTGATTTCATAAAAATTTTAAGCACATATAACGACTATTGAAGCATCAAATTTTTTCATAAATAATTTTAACGGCTAAACATATCGCACATAATCAACATATCAACCATTCCCACCCCACACTTTAAAATGGACATTGTCCTCAATGGACGAAAAGATAGTAAGCCGTGGTAAAGTTGGAACGAATCACCTCGAATGTCGTTAAAATCCAAAGTCATACTCCAATGTAGCTAGTCATCCATAATCGTTATGAAGAGTGTATCAAGAATGAGTGTGACAAGCACTATAAATAAAGTGTCATCAATCCCTCCTTGTACCATTACCTCTACACATTAACAAGCCAAAATCAAAAGTGTGGGGTAAAAGGTTCAAGGGGGAGACTAAGGTGGCATCTTCTTCATGGTCCATCACTAATCCATAGGAAAAACAAGGATATAACCTAACTTAGGTATGCATTTATGAAAATAGACTTCAAAGAAACCCTTAATTAGTTGGGGACTTGATGAGCTTGGAGTTATGCATAGATCAAAGACATAAAATAAAGAGCATTTCATGGGAGGCCACTTTGTTTGGCATCCAACTTAAGGATGTCAAATGAAAGTGATACCAAGGAGACAACCCGTATTTTCTTTATCACCATCATTCACACCATATTCTTCCCTCTTTAGACATGCTCGTAGCATTGAAGTAAGTACCCCCTACTCTTAGATTGACATACGAAGCTTTAAGTTTGTTTGGATAAAAGTTTGATATTTCTACTTTCGTCAAACAAATTCAAAATTTTACCAATGGTATGCTTTAATGGATTCCATTGCATGATTATGTGAATTATGCTCAATCAATGCTTGCATGACTAGAGTAAATGGTAGTACCATCCATCACCTTTTATGAGCTTCAACATTTTCTTTCTACCTATGTGCTTCAATTTCTTATTATGATAGATGGTTCATCTAAACTCTGATTTTATGAACTTCGATATTTACTATTCTATGTGCTTCAGTAGCCTATGAGTTCATGTGTTCTACCATTGGTCATACTATTC